CTCAGCAATCGGCCGTGGGGGGGCCCCGGGTGCTGGCCCAGACCCAGGAGGCACTAGTCACTGAGCCGGGGGACAGAGGGGGTCCCCCATGCACTCCATGGTGAACCCCCTCGCACTCCCATGGGACGCTCTATCTGCCCCATCATCTCAGTTTTCATGAGCCATGCCTGGTACCTCAAGGTATGTAGAAAAAACATATAAACCTGTGTCTACGGCTGAATCATCAAATCTCTCCAAATCGATTTGGAGGCCTCTGATTCAATTCAGAGAGATTAATGGGTCTCCTGATTCGATTTGGATGTACAGATTTGGCTGCCGAATTGGGCCGAATCGCCTCCAAATCAAATCAGTGACCAAAGCTTCACACACCCCTACTTAATATCTCCAAATGGCAAGCCTCGTACCTAACCTGACTTGTTTTTGAAAGAAGGCGTTCTTGTAGTGATAGTGTAGCCATGACGATCTAGACTCTAGAGAATGTGTGTGAAGCAACATTTGTTTGGCGTTATCTTTTACTAGACCAACAGTATAGTTGGGAGATAAATTAGACAAGCCATCAGGCATGATATGCCCTTCCTCAGGTCCGGACATGAAAGAAAAGCATGTGACTTTGTTAAATTTGCCTGCCTTTCACTGAACTGTTGTAGAAATGCCAAGTTTCATAACTGAGGTTTTCTTTCTGTACTAAGAGGCCCATTCAGAAAGAATGTGCTCAATTTCAAAGTTCTGTCTTCATGGGAACATGGCCCTTATCCGTCAAGTACAGGATTCCCTTGCTTTATGTGGGTTCTGTATCGGCATATTCACTCTTATGCAATGACCCTTTTTCTACCAAAAATTCATTATATGCGAGGTAAATTCAGTCTTATGTGATCAGTGTGGTGGAAGCCAGCAGTCAGCTGCTTTGTGCGGTGCGTTGTGGGAGTGATGCACACCAAAATATAGTCTCATCTGGATCTATGCTCCTTGCTCGTTGTCCATGACGCATGTTTTTGTAACAGCCATACCCATTATAATAGTGCCCTGTGCTTACGTGCACTGTCTGCTGGTGGTGAGTACCAAAGTTGTCTTGTAAAAGTGGTAGAAATGGGTCTGGGAGTCAGTACAGTTGAGATCTTGGAACATATCCCTATTTGTTACATTGTAAAGTGGGTTCCCTTTATGCAAATTTGAGTTATGCACCATTTTCCAGGAGCGCATGTGCAGCATAAAGCGAGGGAAACCTGTATTCCATACTTTAGCTTATTACAGGCATATGCGTGTATATCCCTAACTACTAGACAGATACAGCATAACAAGCCATCAGCATTGAACCCATTATGGAATTTATGCTTCGTGGCTCTGTAATATGTTCTTAGCATTTAATAGAAAGAATATTAGTTTGGTTTCTATATTAATATTTTACTAGAGTTATAATTCAAAAGAAAATAAGGATTGTCTACCTTATTAGCAATGGTTAGCACATTTTGCATGCTAAGGTGTTATAGCGCATTCTTCAGAATCTGCCTCGACTATTCTCTTCTTGTTTGTAAGTCACAAGAAAATAGAAGCAGTTTTATAAAGATATTTATCTATCTTTCCATGTAGTATAGATTTAATATACTACTCCAAAAAGAATGTCCAAGTGACAGAATCAAAAAAGCTCATGCATAGTATAGCTTCGAGAAGATAAAGGATTATCTGGTATAAGCCCCCTAGCACACCTTAGTTTAAAGGCACCATGGGATTTGAGCCACACAGGCACAGCAGGAAGTATGATTTTAAGATCAGGATCATGCCCTTTCTACTTGTCAGCACAGGAGGAGCCTGGGATTGTGATGATGTCCCCTACCCACAGGGCAGCCCCAGGCCCAGCTGAAGAACTGGGGCTGCCCTGGGAGCTTATGGTGACAATCAGCTGGTCATCAGCACTGGCCTTAGGGAAGCCCCCAGCTGGTAGGAGACTGGGACCGCTGCAGGCTGGGGCTTGACAGTATTGTCTGCATGTATGTTGGAGGCTAGGACTATCCAAGGCTGATTCTGACAACCAGTTGATTTTTGAACAACATCCCTGGAGAGCCCCAGTATGTGAACATGCCACATTCAATTTAAGGCACCATACAAACCAGCCATAAAAATAGTCTGTATTTTATATAGAACATTTTTATGGCTGGTTTTGCCATTTTCTGGCACCTTAAATGTGACATAAATGTAATGTAGAGTGGCTCTAAGAAAGACAGTCAAATGACATTTAACTCAGCCTCAAAATCTGAATTAAATTTGTAGCTTCAGCCACAAACTTCCTACATAACCTTGGCCAAAACAATCTACCCCAGGTCTCAGCTCCCTATCTGTAACATGGTATTTATACTTCCTTACCTCAGAGGGCCACTGTGATAATAAAATGCATTAACAACTATGCAGTACTCAAATACTGCAGTGTTAAGAACCATATCAATACCTAGATAGATTGAAAAATACAAATAATGAAATAGAAAGCCTTTTCCCTTCTTGAACAGTGATTCACAATCTACACAGGTCAGCAGTGATGGAGACTAATGACTATGAAGTAATCTAGGATTTTTGAAAAGCAGGGTGTAGATGGTGTGGTGCATCATCACATATAATGCAACACGCACTCTTCTCCAGTTAAAAATGATTTTAGCAACCAGGTCTCCCTCTTCACTAATAAGATAGAGACCTAGAACTATAGTATTCAATTTAAGATTGAAGCAAACAAAAAAAAAACTCCAATAAAAACCTTTATTGGAATGTGCATTAATTTGCTTTATGACATATTATCTATAAAAATGCAACAGACTAAGCAAAACAATATAAAAATATGTTGTTCTGTAGTCATTGTAGTTAAATGTACATATCTTTCAGATTCATACAACAAAATCTTAGCCTTTTTGAGTATCTTGACAGTGCATTCAGTGCTTCATTGAAAGTTATTTCCACACCTGAGTTAATGTTTCTAGAGTTAAAAAAACAGTGTGCAAGGCTGTGAAATGGGAGCTATGTTACTAGAAGCAGGTAACAGACAGTAGAATTGCTGAAGTAAGGATAGTTTCAGTAGTGGAACCATTAAAGACCATTAAAAAGGAAAAGAGTGTTGTTAACGCCTATCCATAAAGTCAATTAACTCTCTCATTGCTGCCTGAATTGAGGTGCTTCTGCCCCTGCTAGGCAGTTGTTTTTGAAAGTTGGATGAATTGGGAATCAGAGAGGGTACGATTGCACCACTTCAACACCACCCCTCCTGGTTCTGCCCCTGCTAATGACCACCATCTAATGCAGTGATTCTCAATATCTTTGGACTTGAGATACCTCTCCTTGAAAACAGCTGATAATTTCATACCATTTTTAAGTTTGGACTCAAGCACCCCTCCATAATTTGTGAATTGAGTGCCACCCAATTTCAAAAAGTAATTTATAGATTATATTACTTACTTCCTTGCAGAGGGGGTGGGCGATCAGTCAGGCAGGAATAGGCCTGAGCTTGCATCTGTCTGCTTAGATATTCAAACTTTTCGGCACCCTTCAAAGTATCTCATGGCACCCCAGTGTACTGTGGCACCCTGGTTGAGAATCACTGATCTAATGGCAGCTGGATTGGATAAAAATGTTCAAAATTCTTTGGACTTGGTGATAGGGTCGGAGTTGCATGACAGAGTTCTCTTTGATTTCCCATGCAGCCTGGAATTTTTCAGTAGTTTAATGGTGGCAGTTTTTAATTGAAGTACAGTATTCACTTTGTTTGCTTTTAATATTAAATTGAACTATATGCCACTTCACTCTACATATTCAGGTTAAACCAAAAATCCACAAAACATTTAACTTGTTTTGGTTTTTTTTTAAATAAAAAGTAGCAGCATTGCACTTCTTATTGGGGCAAGGGAAGAAGCTACAAGCTTTGGCAGCTGTATAGAGTGGCAGCTGTATAGCTCTAGGGATTTTGACTCCTGGGAAGGTACAAGGAGGTATTTTGATCCAGGAGGTGGTTGTAGTTTTTGGCACAGGAAGATGATTGTCCTCTTTCCATCCACTTTGTGGAGAAGAGGGTAATTACTTTAGCCTGTGCCTTGGATGGTACTGTGTGTAAATTCTATTAATACCACATTGCCTGAAAGCCTTTGACAGCAGCCACCCTGCCCTAGTGTCCCTCATTGCATCCATCAAAGATCCATTGTAACTGGATGTTTCTGCTAAAACGATTGGCTGTGAAATGTATGGATGTGTCACATGTTCGTGTTTGGGTATTGGAGTTAATGTACAAAGTGGGACATTTGGGAGCATCTCTGTAATCTTTTCAGCCTGTCTGCAGCCTCAGAGACAGATCTGCATTGATGTACATCTTGTTACATCTGGAAGATTCTCTTCACAATCTTAAGAGCTTAAAACACACTGAGAATTTAAATGCTGGAGTATAGTTTCTTGCAGTGAGTTCTACCATTGTGAAATTGTAGAATTTGAATGACCCAGCTCTTGCAAAAACAGCTGATAATCTCATGCTGTTTTTAAGTAGCTAAAGGGAAGAAATCTTTTTTAGCAACCAAGTCCCCCTCTTGGAGTCTTGGAGAGAACAGGGGTTAAAGGGAAATAAGCATTGACTGCTCTTATGATGCCTTCTTCATGTCTAAATTGCTGCCGTAATGTAACTACAAGATGACTGCTTGCATGGTTGTCATTTTGGCTCTTTTCTTGTTTGAACTAAGTCAACTTACCTTTTGTTTTTAAAGAAAGGTTAAAAATGATACAGAGTGTGATATATGTAATTAACACAGCTGATACTTGCCTTCTCTATTTAGATATTAAACAAAAAAGCTTTTTTTATATTTTATAGAAAAGGTAGCACTTCATTTGTGCCTTACACAGTTCCCTACGTCCATTCAGAATTATCAAGAGTTTTGTTCTCATAGGGTTTAGGCCTCTGAATTTGCTTGCTGGAGTTCCTAGCATGCAATCAGCAGTGTTTTCATTGCAACTTTATTTTTTCCCTCCTTTTCTTATGTCCATAGGTCATAAATGTTGACGGAACAATGAGGAAGACCCTCCTAGAAGATAAACTGCCACATATATTTGGGTTTACGCTGCTGGGGGACTACATCTATTGGACAGACTGGCAGAGGCGAAGCATTGAAAGAGTTCACAAAACAAGGGCAAGCAGGGATATCATAATAGACCAGTTGCCAGACCTAATGGGTCTCAAAGCAGCAAGTGTCACCAAAGTGTTTGGTAAGCATGAGCAATGCAAAATGGATTTGATACGGTTTCCAGAGGGTTGGGTTTTAATTAAGCAGCGTCCACTACTTGTGACGAGATGAATTATGCTCTCCAAAGCTAATGCTGTTTATAGGCAAGAGGTTACCTAATTTCTGTAAAGCCAGAGTAGTGAAATGTCACAAGAGAAAAGTCTGTTTTCTGTGCAAATGCAGTGAGAAAATCCACATAATTTTGAGATTGCAGATTAATGCAATGTGTGCCATTTTTCATGCTCTGCTCTTCTGAAACCATTAGGCAGCTGCTTCCCCAACATTTCAGCAGGGTAGCAGAATTTTGTAGCCTATTACAGGCATTTCACTGGTCTGACAGGAACTCATCAAGCCTCTTTCCTGTGCTTTTCTCCTGTTACAATCAGTTTAGTGTCAGTCCTGCCCAAATGACACAGTTAGATTAAGAGTTGAGGGTGCTGAGCAATTTTCAGGCAATGTGTGGCACACTGAGGAGGTATCCTGCCCATTACTGCACTAATCTTGAGCTTGTCTGTGGATCATGTTTTTAGCATAATTTAGCTCTCAGCTTGTAACGTGATATGCTGTGAAATAAGTAATTCTGTAATGCAGTAAGTTTCACAACACCCTAATATCTAACAGATGAAAATAAGGGCAAATAAAATTTCATGCCAGGCCACCCAAGCCCCTGAGTATGGGTATACAGACATAGAGGGTCTGTTACTATTTTGTGTTGTTGTTTTACAGTACTCTTCCAGTCTGCCTCTGAATTTGCTTTGATGACATCTAAAAACTGTGATGAGTTTAATTAATGAGATCATAAGCTTTAAGTGACACTTGAAGGGGGGTACAGGTTTTGGCAGAGAAGCCTCCTTAAATCACTGGAACAGAAATTACTTGAGCAGCACTGGAGGACCACATTGTCAGCTGGTCTGAATCAGGCTAGCGCCAGCAACTTCAGTGGATCTCTGTGCTGACTTTTGCCAGCTTGGGGATCTGATCTGGAATCTGTCCCTGCTCTGAAGCAAAGGAGAAAAAGAAAAAGAGGATTGTCTTCATTTAGCTAAAGAACAGAGACTTGTATTTTTGCCCTCTCTCCCCCCAAATTCCCTCACTGTTTATTCATAAAAGCACTGGTTTGCATAACTAAAATTGGGGAGGAGGGTGATCTTGTTGGAATTACTCCTGATGATGAATCCCAGCATTTGATTATATTTAACAGCTGAGGGAAGCTGCAGTTGTTCAGCTCTGTTCTCACCAGTGCCTGCCACTTGAATTCTCACACATTTAAGAATGGATGATTCAAGTAAAAATGAAGATCAGTTGTCTGGCCAAAAATAAACAAGCAGAACAAATACAAAATTGTGTCTGCCTTGACAAAATGATCAAACTGTCTGAAAAAAAATTAGAAGAGACTTTTTTAGAGCAGCGAGCTATGTTTATAAGAGGACTAAAACTCACATCTTTGGTTCAGAAGATCTGAGTTGGTTTTGGAAACCTCCCTTAACAATCACAACATTATGATATTTCTCAGTTCTATAGCTATGTTGCATTTCCATTCAAGCCATTTTTTCCCTCCTAATGAACCATCTTTTGCTTTCTAGGAACCAACCCATGTGCTGAGAATAATGGCGGGTGCAGCCACCTGTGTTTCTTCACACCTCAGGAGACCAGATGTGCTTGTCCCATAGGACTGGAGTTGCTGAGTGACATGAAGACCTGTATCATCCCTGAAGCCTTCCTGGTTTTCACTAGCAGAGCAGCAATCCATAGGATTTCCCTTGAAACCAACAATAATGATGTAGCTATTCCTCTTACCGGAGTCAAGGAGGCATCCGCTTTGGATTTTGATGTGTCAGATAACAGAATCTACTGGACAGATATTAGTTTGAAGGTATCATTGACATTGAATTCCCTGAATATGAAGGCACAGTAAAGTTAGGGTGACCATATTATTTTTAAGGAAATCCTGGATACTGCTGTTCCCCCCCTTCCCACCCCAACCAAGTCAGCAGCGCTGCTGCACACAGAGGCAGCCGGGCAGGAGCCCAGGGCACAGTCCAGCAGGGAAGTGGAGTGCCCAGCCCAGCTCCTCCTGAGCAGCAGCTGAAGATAGGGAGTGGGCTGGGCTGGACACCACTCCAGTCCTCCTGCCTTGCTCCTGCACAGCAGCAGCGGTCCTGCCTGCCTGACACCATGTCACTGCCTCCCCACCAGACTGCACCCCATTCTCCTGCCTGCCTGCCTCTGCTTCTGGGACTTTTCACTAACCAGCCAGGACTGCCTTATTAAATTTGGGACTGTCCTGGACAAACTGGGACATATGGTCACCCTAAATATAATCCCTTTAATCTTTCAAAGATCTTTTGGTTTGGTGGTGTATCAAATAGTTGCTAATTTCGTTACTGTATCCAAAGAAACTACTGGGGGCTGGGTTGGGGGAGAGTTCCATTTTTTTAAAAACACATTTGAATGATAGCTGTGTTCATGCTCCATGTAAATAACAAAGGCAGGATCCAGTTATATTAGCTTTCTGAATCTTGACTATGTTTTGTGATGTGTCCATAAATTTACCTATTTCAGAAAAGCTGCTTGCCAGATATTAGGGTAATTTAAATGGTAGGTCTGGCACCCCACTCAGCTTGCTCTACCTCTTTCCAGTTTTGACTTGAAATGCAACCCATTCAGAATTAAAATTTGACAAGTAACCCTTGGATCACTCACTTTTAGCTGTGGCTCCAGCTTGCTGCCTTGCAGCTGCATACAGTAGACTTGAAAGCTTACAGAGTTTTCACAATAAAGTTCTCTTTTGGTGTGTTTCCTGAGCCATCTGAAATTTGATATGTAACATTTCTGGTTTTTAGCCAGGTGCAGGCTAAGGAGAGTCATGTGTCATCCATCAATGTTGTTTAATTTTCTTTTAAGTGAATTAAATACTGGTGGAAAATGTCAGATTGATATTACTGGAAACTGACTCCTCTGTTTAGCTCCTTAACTGTGAAAGCTCCCATGTTAAAGTGCCTCAACAGGGAACAGTTCACTTCTAGGGACCATGGGGGTAATTCAGTTTCCATAGCCACTCTGTGGAGACTAGTAAACGTTTCACTTCAATGCTAGCAATGGGTTTTGTGATGTGGACTCCTTCCTACTAGGAACTGTGCCAGTATAATAAATTCATGTGCTGCAGATAGCAGATGCAATTGCTAAATAAATCACATACACACACCTGGGGAGCTAAAATGATTCTGTTAACAGTGAATAGCAGAAGATGCCATATCTTCTTTGGAGGGCA